ATTTACCTACTTTGGATTTAATAATTGAATATGGTGAATGTACACAGGTATAATTAACATTATATTAGCTAAGTGTTAATGTATAACTTGATTTAAATGGTAAAGGTTTTCATTTTTTTTATCGCAGTTGTAAGCGGACTTTTTCAGTAATGTGAAGCGATTGTAGTCTTGAAATTAGAAATTATATAACATATTAAGCATTGAAAGACGTATCATTACAAAAGCAAATATTCTTGAATACAATATTACGGTATAATTTAACTACTATATTGGAAGCGGTGAAGGTTTTCATTTTATTAGATTTTGAAGTGAACGAAACTTTATATGTGTTACTCAAATGGTATCGAATCAGGGTGAAACACATCACCATCAATACAAATGAGTGCTTTGAAGCCACAGTGTAAGGTTTGATTATGAGCTCAATACTGTTTAGGATTAGCCTATAAACCCAAATTTGAAAAAGCAGGAAACTCATTTTCAAAAACAGTCCGGATATATCAAAACGTTGGTATCAAACATTGCATTACAATACATTGTCATCAAATGAGCAATAACACAATAAAAGTATTCGCACTTCTCTATAAATAAAGTAATAAAAAGTAAAAACTGGTGGGCGAATGGTAAATGCTAAATCTGTGCTGTATGTCTGTGCTGTTGTCATTCACTTATTTTTCCCCGTTAGCCCATTTGTCTCCATGCGAAAAAAAAAATGTTTCGCACTAAAGTATAGACCGAAAGCACAATGCCAGTAAGTTTTCGACCATGCTCACGAGTATTCGATATCTAGAATAGAACTTTTTTGTCAAATAGCGAGTCGAACGGTCATTCAGGACGACGAAAAGAGCAGTGATTTGAAGTACGGTTTTTTTCTTGAAATTGCATATGCATTCGAGTAAGATGTATATGAAATATTTCTGTGTTATCGAGGAGTGGTAGAACGTTTGATTTTTTCAATCAAAAATGATTTCGAAATAAAAAAAATTGACGGAAGTTGAAGAGGTAAATTGGTGGATTCCATTTCCAAATCGTCGGAAAGCTTCCTAAAATTCCACTTTATTATTACTTAAAGTTATCATATCCTTAACAAATCCCCTTAAACTTTGAAATTAATTGTGTTTTCTTTCTTTCAACCAATGTAACTGACTGGATTGTTCTCGTCTTCGATAAAAGTGTCATTTTTCGTTCGTCAAACTTAACCGCAGTGCGTCGTCTGCTAGCGGGGAAAACCGTCATCGTCTGCAATTTATTGCCGTGCGCATGCGCGTGTATAATGACCATTCTTATGGGCCGTGAACATACGTGACCATGCTGTATTTGTATAGTCCTAAATTCACAAAGCAACGCCCCAGGTGCATTCTGCGCGACATCACGCAGTACACGCGACGCAAGACGCGCTCGCCAATCTCCATAAAAGGAGTTGTTTACATCTTACTTGCAAGCTGGACACTGCATTGTTTAGCTAGAGAAAAAAAAACAGGTTTTTTTTGACCGAAAAGGTACTTATGATTTGGAATACAAATGTTCTTGGTCGGCATTAATCACTCTGTGTAAGACCGCTTGGAGTCTGGGTGCTGATAATTACCCTCGCCTTCCGCTTGGGTAATTATCAGGACCCAGACTCCAAGCGGTCTTTAGACGGGGTGATTAAAACTTTTGAAGCACACATTTATTCCCTTATTAAAGATCAGCTATTCTCGATATTTTCTTTTGAGCCACATTACCACATTTTTCTTGTACCCTATCTTTCTTTAAATGAAGGTAGGAAACGTAATTCTGCTATTAAAACGTTATGTGTTTCTTTTTGTATCTTACCCGTGATCCTCCCCGCTTGCACGTCATTTGCCAGGCATGCTTAATTCTACACGGTGTTAGTTTATCTCCTATTCGTGTGAGTGCAGCTAAGCAAGTCTACAGGCACGCTCAGCCATATCACCAGATAATGAAGTAACAGTTAAAATTTGATGTCACGCTGTCGATCAGATGGCGAAATCGGCTAACAATGTACACATTATGCTTAAAACGTCTGCAGGCAGCGGGCGGATGCGAGTTAAAGTGGCGCTTGCTATTCAACGAATCGTCATATGATGCGTCCATAGTTAAATATTAAACCCATTAATAAAAACTAGTTGACTGCATTCACATCGCACAGGTTATGAACCGTATCATTGACCTTAACCTTTACAGACATTGTTCAATTAAGCTCACCAGATGCATCTACGTGCGTACGGTTGTGGCCCAGTAACTGGGTCATATTGGCCACGATATTAAATTATATTTCCTTCAAAGTGAGAGAGTTTATGGAAACTGGAGCCCTGGGACTTACTCTTGAGGTTATGAACCCCCAAAATTTCTGGGTTGAGTTCAGGGATAAAACTGACTCATTTCACATTCTGCGTAAGAACATTTGGGCTGTTTTGGGTTATAAAATGTCGTTGTAAATTACCAAAGAAGAGCGTCACCGCTTGGCAGGATTCAGAAGCGCGTAGTTTTGCAAACCAGCAGCCGATCGGAGAGTCAACAGCATTTGTTTTCTTTCCGATTAGAGTTTACAGCATGTGGTTTACACTGTCATTGGAATGATTGGTACCTAATTATGAGAGGAATTATTATTATTACATGTTAATTCCCGTTATTCCCGTTAGATGTCCTACATTTCTGAGTTTCGCATTATAAATCTGATCGGGTTGATAACTTATAATAGTAAGAACCAACATTCAAAGATTAATACGTTGCATTATTATTACTGTGCAGTCTACTGTACAGTTCTCATGTTATGAGGTTATGAATATTTAATGAGGCAATATTGTGACCACCAAATCTCTACAATACAATAAGTTATGATTCCAGTTCTTTGCACATTTACTCCTATGGACTGAAAATGCACCGCCTGAAATGTCAAGGTCATGTGACCCTTACTAATGGGTGTTTCGCAAGTGCACCGATTAAAGATTTAATTTCAATTTTAATAACTGCAAACTTCTTGAAAACAATCTTTACATGTTAATCATTTGGTATGTCCATTAGACATTCAAAAACATGTTTGGAACAACTCACTCCGTGGTTGTTCTGTTACAACCACAATCTCTAGTTCATCATTATCGTTGACAATTTATAAAGTGCGGTCAGTATACTGCGTCCTCTCTTGTTTTTTTTTTTTTTGACGCAATAAAAAATCATCATTTTCTCTAAACAAGACAGTGTTGCTTTTGACATGGTCCAAATTGGTAATAGTGTGTATAGTTTGTATTCAGGTTGCTCCCTAGTATCCATCAGGTCTGGAATGTCAACGATAGACGCGTATAGAATGCGTATAAGACGCGTATACGCGTATAAGACGCGTATATTCTACCACCTCTTGTGTATGATTTCTGATCCTACATATTAGCGTCCTCAACTTCTAAGACGGGGTCATAATGAATGATAGCAACCACGCGTATGTCTATAATGATTTTCCCATTTATTTGAATACCATAGTCACTATGTAGAATTCCTGTCTCCATAGCTCTGCACGGTGAGTGACCAGTTCCTCATTTTAAAAGACGACAATAACGAATTATCAATTGATTTACATACCGTTATAAAGGGGTGATCAAAACCATCCTTAAAAGGTATACATATGGAGACCTTACAGTGGCGTAGCCAGCAACTGCCCTTTTTCATTCGAGTGCCCCTTTATTCGCAAGTGTACCCCGCCCCTCCAATATTTTTAAAGATTGCCCTTTTTTATTGTTAAACACTGCCCTTATTTACAACTAGACGCTGTAACGATATGACTTGAAGCTTTGCATGGCGGATGAGATAAAGTAGAAAGACTGCAGGTAACACCATTTTGGAGAGTAATCTCTTTTTTGATGAAGTGTGGTACTGAAAAGAATCGGTTATTGAGTGTAGAACTCCCCGTTTCGCAAAATGTGCTCTGTCCGTCATCGGGAGGGTGTGAGATCTAACAAGTGCCTTTTGGGAAATTTTGCGCGTTTGCCTCCCCGAAAGACATCATATATTGTCCGATAGTGTGTATGATTGTCCGCTTTGAACAGCGCCGTCATTGAAAGATGGTTCCAGTCCGCCCCCCCCCCCTATTTTATTATACGGAGGCCAAGTGTCCAAACAACCTGTCTACATTTCAGCACGAATGTAAGAGTGCCTTTTTCAAGAAATGAATACCCCTATTAAGAATGACCTTGCTACGCTTTTGCCGTACATGTGTATTTTTAATGAACCACATAAAATAAGGAGACAAAAAGCCAAGCTGGTTTGGGTACATTGATGGAGAACCATTTACTCTAAGGCTTTTAGGCCGGACCAAATTGAATTGAACAATTCTATAAGGCCAAACCACATAGGCCTACAAAGAGTCTACATTCTAACTAGAAAAAAAATAAGAGAATCCTCTAAAAAATATATACCAAAACAACTTGATTTGAATAGTTACTTACTGGTAGAACGATTAGTTACAGTAATTGTATTATCAGGTACATCAGTATTATTTTAAAAACATATATCAATTGATTGGCAAAGCCTTGAAAAGTTTTTTTCTAAATGTTAACCTTTGCTCAGGTAATAGGGTAATACAGGCTTGGAATGCCTCAGATTTCCAGTCCCCCATCATTTTGACTATTTCACAAGGAAGGGCAAATTACAAAACCCAAGTCGCCCCTCCTCTGCAATAACTGTGAGTGCTAACAATGATTGTGGGAGGTGTAGTTTAGTAAACAGCTTGGAGAAAGTGGTCTTGACTTTGGAGGGAGAAAAAGGCTTGTAAGCTGAACTTTGAGGTGTGATGAAGGCAGGCCTGGGCTATCGCAGTGTACATTTGGAATTACAACATGTATTTCAATTTACCATAATGTAGCTTCATTTGAAATCTATTGCCAAGAGTTCTAAGTTAATTCCTTTTTGGGTGTCTCGCAATACTCATACGCCAAATTGTTTTTTTGTTTCGATGACCCGCTTTTGCCATTCACCTATTGTATTCAAATGTTTACATGTACAATGTCGCATTACACCTTGTGAAACATCTTAACTGATACTTCGTCAGCCACTGCCAGCTGCCCATCTGGCGTGAATGTAATTCCTAATGGGTTATGCAAACCCCGAACGAGGCAGTCAAGAAACCTGCCATCTAGGTCATAGTGGTGAATATGACCTTTGTAACGGGGCCCCAGCATTGTAACATATATACCGGAGCTATCAGCGTATACATCTAGGCAGTACTTTGCTGGTTTTCCGAGGATGGTTGGTTCGATTGTGAAGAGTGTATAACTACTACCATCAGTAACGGCCACGAATGGTCTAGCTCCGTAATTACTGATTATAACTCGATCCTTGTTGTCAACAGCCAGCTGGGCAGGGCAAAGTTTTACTGGTACGGTACGTAGAAGCTCACCATTACTAGGTTTGTGTTCAGTATACACCCATCCTTGGTCATAAGTAACAAGGATTGTACCATCCTTCTTGACCGCTACACCCCTGGTCCTGGGAGAGTGGGGCTTACCGACCTCATCTGCTGGCACCGTTGGGAACTCGTATGCCAGCGAGTTGTCGCTGTTGAACACCTTCACCTTTGGATCGTAAGTCTCAATAACCACGAAGCGATTGTGAATGGGTTCAACTGCAATTCCACGTGGACCTATGGGGATTAAAGATACACAAAAAATACAGTTATTGAAATCAAGGAGGCCTGCTAGTCAATCTTCAAAGAATCATTATCTGAACTAGGCCAAAACATTGACCGTGGGCAGAATTATTTGCAGGCATACTCACATTTTTGAAGCTGTATTGTACTTTTCTGTTTACCATCGATGCTGAAGATAACAACTCGGTTTCCATACATGTCAGCCACAGCGATCTCATCATCACGTGCAGCGATGGCAAGATAACAGCTGTGTGCACAGCCCTCAAATTTAATCTCACGAAACAGCTCCCAATGGCCTCTTCCACTGCTAACCTGCAATGCGAGTCAATGACACAGCAATGTCGTTCAAAAGGACTAATCGGGGGATGTTCCATATTTCAAAATTCGAATCGAATATTCACACAGAAGCAGGTGTATTTCTCCAACTTACTCGCTTGCCACGTCCAAAGATCGGCTTGATAGGACCCGTTGTTGGTTCCCCTCTGATCGCCTCTTGACCTGAACTCCCTGCTACTTCAGTTGTCTTTTCTGCCTGAAACAAAATATCCACTTACTTTTTGAAAAAAAATCATTTGCAGTGTCACCCAGTGAGGCTTCGCTGTAATGCTCTGGGCTTATATCAAGCTTATCGATTGTGGTTCGTTTGAATTACTGAAGGACTGCAACACCATTTTTTCCTGCAATGAAATCTGGCAGAAACTGCATGATGCACAGGACAGAGTTATCGAACGTTCTGGTGTATTCTGGTGTATTTCTTGTTCCGAATGCTGCAACACTGCTGCTTTCTTGTTAGCCCCGGGTTGCGACACGACTTTCATTTACCGGTCCAAGAGAAGTCATCCTTGAGTCATCTTTGCACCTGTCTCACTCACTGACGCCCTGACTGACCCACTGATTGAGTTGATACTGACGCCAATAATAGGGTTGAATGCTGCCGGATGTGTAGAAGAGGCACATGAACATACTTCTGTCCAAGCAAGCTATGGGACCATTGTTACTCGGCTTGACTTGACTTTGTTGAAATGTGCACCGACATGAAAATGACGACATACTTGATATGTTTTACATGAAGTTTCAAAAAAGTGACCGTCTGACCATTTTTCAAATAACTACAAAACCACGAGGTAAATTTTGAAAATGTTTGGTTGTGCAGATACTCCTGTACGCCTTGGCTTCAACCCCTTTGTTTCATTTAGTTTTAATCACGCAACACTTCGTAATTATCAATTGATCACAACAACATATTTGGACCCTGTGACCAAATTCGTTGCCTTAATCAATTTCAGTGCTGTGTAATGTAAGCTGTGTAAAATCCTGCATGATGTAAAAAGTGCTTCGGTTGGAATTTGAATCATTTACTGGCTATCAACCATCATGACAAGACCTCAGTTTAATGCTCAAGGGCAAATGATTCATCTCCAAAACCACATCAGCCTTTTTTTTTCAGAACATGCAGGCTTTTTACAATTGACCTCATGTTTGTGTTATTATTTTAAAAACACTCTGACTGACACTTTTTTGGGACATACTGTATAATAGTATGTCAAAACTAAAAAGGATTTATTTCAGGGATCTATTTCATTGACGTTTGATAAAGCTTATTAGGCATTCTTTCATATATTCATATATTTGGGTAATTATCTGTCTTACCTGTTGCCTGATTCCCCTACACTTGCAACATCTAGGTCTCTTGCAAGGCATCGTTGGACCAACTGTTGGTTCGTCATTCATCGACTCGACAGTTGCAGTCTTTCCTTTTCTAGTTTCCGTTTTTCTCTGAATGAAAATGAAACCTCATGATTATTTCTAAAACATGAGCTGAACCGTCATTTGTGCTAAATTAATTCCAGTTAAGTTGCAACAGTATATTCTTAGCTAATAAAGCCTCGATCGGGTTGTCTAGCTATTTTCTTTGGACATATATTACTACACATATTACTACATTCTGCTTGTACCCTTTCATTCTCTGAATGAAGGTAAGAAACATAATTCTGCTATTACAAACGATATTTATGTGTTTCTCTGTGTATCTTACCCGTGGTCTTCCCCGCTTGCCACGCCTCTTGTCAGGCATGCTTGGTTCTACACGGTGTTAGTTTATCTCCTATTCGTGTGAGTGCAGCTAAGCAAGTCTACAGGCACGCTCAGCCATATTACCAGATAATGAAGAAACAGTTAAAATTTGATCGTCACGCTGTCCATCAGATGCGAAATCGGCTAACAGTGTACACATTATGCTTAAAACGTCTGCAGGCAGCGGGCGGATGCGAGTTAAAGTGGCGCTTGCTTTTCAACGAATCGTCATATGATGCGTTAATAGTTAAATATTAAACCCATTGAACTTTGTGTATCAATAACAACTACGTGGTTGAGTGCGTTCACAGCACACAGGTAATGGATCGTACCTTATCTTTGACCTTAAGCTTACAGACCTTGTTCATTTTAAGCTCACCAGATGCATCTAAACACATGCCCAGCCACTGGGTCATATTGGCCACCGTCGTTATTAATATCTTATTTCTTCCAAAGTGAGAAAGTTAATATATAAGGGCACTTACTCTTGAATTCATGGGTTATAAAACTGCCGTCGAATGGGGTAACCTCGGTCATTTTTAGGCATATTTAACTATTGCTTTAATAACAAACTTGGCGAATTGGATTGCCCCTAATATAAGTTTTCCCGGCTATTTTAAAACATTTGTTATTCAAATTCACCATCTCTAACATTCTTTTTCGTCCTAAAAAACTCACAGGCTTTAAAAAAAACAATTTAGTCATTTGCCATTCAATTTCTAAGTTTGGTCACCCTCTTTATAGTCACCGGGTCGAGAATATTCGTCATTACAGATCAAATTCGTCTAAGCTGTTGCAGCACTCAGAGATTGAATTCGTCTTATATAAATCATTTAGACGAATTTGATTACTGAATAAAAAAGGTTTGGCGTAGACGAGATGAAATCGAATACTCCGGGACGAAAACGTGTGGTCGTTGTTTGAATTTGCTTAAACTGAATTTGAAATTGTCTGACAAAAGACGAAACGGAAGTGCATTAAATTGATAGTGATGGACGAATTTGAATATTTGAAACGGTGAGTTCGAATGATAACCGGTTTAAAATAGCCGGGAAAACCTGTATTTAAAACATTTAGACTAAACTCTACACTTTGATGTTGTTTGGTGTCAAAACATAGTATTTAACAAAGGGGTGGGGCCCAAAAACAGATGTGACAAAAATTAATTTCCGTTTTGGGGCAAGTTGGCCAGCACTAATAATACCGCTGGACAAAACATTTCAACATTTTTTTTTAAATTGTTTCGTTCCAGGTGAAATATAGAAAAAAAGGAACATTTGACCCTATATTTCTAAAAAAAATCCGAGTGCCTCTTTGATTGTGATTCCTTGTTGTTCCTTGACCTCTGACCTTTGACTTCTTGTAATTTGACATTACATAATTATCCACTTCAAATCAACAAGTGCATTACACTTTGCAGTGGCATTTTCTGAAACTAATTATATATCAAATTTACTGCCGAATCTTGTTTCACAAATATTTATATTCACTTGTAACTAAAATATAGGTGCTGACCAAAGTGACCCTACTGACCAAAGATACCCCATTTATTTACGGGTTACTTATTACACATCCTCCGTGAGAGCATTTGGGCTGTTTTGGATTTCATCATGAATGACTCAAGAAGAGCGCGCCACCGCTTGGAAGGATTTCGGAAGCGCATGATTTTGCGAACCACCAGTAGCCGATTGGAGAGTCAACTTTGCGATGGAAAAATGTGCCAGATAACGACGATGGCAGCATTTTTAACCTTTCGTATTAGAGTTTACAACATGCAGTTTCAAAGTGTGATTGAGATGATTGGTACCTAATTATCAAATGGGAATTATTATTAATTCCCATTAGAAGTCCTGCATTTCTGAGTTGTGCCTTTGCATGCCGGGTTGCCTACATTGTTGTATTATCAAATGTAGGTTTGTACATAAAGTTATACACCGGAGTATACAGGGTGAGTAAAAACAAAAAGGTCCCCCAAAAAGTGGGTCAAAAAAATTACGGGGTGGGGTTCGGGGCCCGCTTAAGGGCCCCGAAAAGTTTTGGATTCTAGATGGTCTGTGGTGCGATCTGAGGCAATTTCTGACCACTTTAACCAATGTTTTTTTGAGGAAAAGATGGTGGTGTACTCATTGCCTGCCTTTGTGCGATGTCACATAAAAAAATTGGTTTCGTTTTTGGGGGGCTGGCCCCCTTTGCCCCCCCCCCCCCGATCCGCCCTTGGTACTTTTTAAGTTTCGAAATTTTAAACGCAACCACTGTTTTAAAGTTCTGTCCACGGATCACAAAAAAAGGTTTGCGTTCTTTCGTTAGTCCGTTTGCTAATAGTTACAAGCGTTGACATTGTCTATTGCCCCTACATGTTTCAACAAATTTTTCACCGAACTTTGTGAAAATTATCAGTAGCCCAACCTCAGCATGTCACATGACCAAACTGGGGTTAAAGGTCTTCATGGGGTCAGGGTTGTTGTTTTTTTTTTTTTTTTATCAAAACACTACTCCGTCCAGGAATTACATTGCACATCCACATGAATCATGCATGAACACGAATTCGTTGACCCGCAGCTTCCCAGATATGTCCGATCGTGCTTGCTTTATTCCATGTTCTGTCTTTCAAAACGACGGGGCTCACTTGCAGGATAACTAGGTGCTTACCACTGCTTACCAAAAACTAACCGAGTGCTTACCTAGAGCTTTCAATAAAGGGAGCTAATCAATTGGCAATATATGTACAGAGTATTTTCAGAGAACAAGCTGATTGTTTATCTTTTTACCAGTCACTGCAACCCCCCCCCCCTCATGCTATAACTTTCCCTTTGACCTTCGCCATTCTTCAACAGTAATGCTTGTGTAACACTGACCCCAAGGAAAGTTGATTTACTGCAGTGTTGGATAACATTCAATTGATTCTAAGTTCTAAGTAAAAAAAAAAATCAATAAAATAAAACAACAACAACGTAGCTTCACTGAAACCAAGCTTGGCTACACTGAATAGCTTCATCATTCGACGAAATTATAATTCAATACAGAAGGTTTTTTTTGATTTATCATCCAAAAAAACGAGTAAGTTTTACTTCAGCCAAGCAGAAAATAAGTTTTACCGTGGTGACAACTTTCTATGCAGCGCGCCCTCTTTTGAAGGAAATTGTATTTGGCTTCAAATCGACTTTTATTGTTCGCGCTAGAAACAAACCAGGACTACATAGTTTTTTTTTTTTTTTTTTTTATTTCTTGACAATTTATCGTCCGGAAATCGAGTGTTGTTTGTGTTCCATGCATGTTGACTTTGATAGGAATCGTAATTTCGTGTTCAACACATCTACAGCACATTGTTTTGGTTAGCCTAATTTTTTTTTTGGTTGAGGATTCCTGGGCCTATATTTCGAACATTCATGGGACGAACCTTTAATTTGTTACAGCAGATATTTCTTGGGTTACCGTCCGACAAATCGGTGTGTTGCTTTCGTTCTTTGTATGTTGGCTTTAATTGGGATCGCAGTTTTCAAGCGAAACATACCGCATTTTTTGGTTATAATATAGGTTTTCCCAACTATTTTCAAACGTTTATCATTCGAATTCACAATTTCTAATATTTAAATGTGTCCACCAATATCGATTTAGTGCACTTCCGATGTTTATTTTTTTTCTTTTGTCAGACAATTTCAAATTCAGTTGAAGCAAATTCAAACAATGAGCACACGTTTTCGTTCTGGACTATTCGATTTCATCTCGTCTAGGTCGAACCTTGTTATTCAGAAATGCAATTCGTCTATTTGATTTATATAAGACGAGTAGGATCTCCAAATCCTGCCATTCGGCATTAGCTTGGACGAATTTGACCTGCATGCAATGACGAATATTCTCGCCCCGGTGACTAAAGAGGATGACCAAGCTTTGAAATTGAACGGTAAATCACTAAATTGGTTTTCTTAAAAGCGTGTGATATTATTTTTTCGTGGACGAAATGGAATGATAGAGTTGATGAATTTTAATGATAAAATATTTTAAAATAGCAGGGAAAACCTATATTGTTGTTGTTGGACTATTTTCCAAACTTTGTTGTTGCTTTACAACCAATCATTCAACGGAATTGTTATTCCATATAGCGGGTGCTTCTTGCTTTATCGACTAGAAAACGAGTGCGTTGCTTTAATTTTTTCAATAAGGAATAATAATAACATATATATAAAAAACTATATATATATAAATATCGAAATGAAATTAGGCTACTCATTCATGACTCGTAGATTTGATCAAAAAGCCGATCAACACAAATTCAAACTATATTCACAGGTGTGACACAGCGAAATCGGTATGGCAACCAGTTTGAATGGGACAGTGACCCAGAGCTACAGAATGACCTTATAAGGCATGCAACTCGATGAATGGCGCTTACTATGACGTATTAGTCATTCATAAACTTGTCACCGAACCCAAGGCAACGATTCGGTACACTGCACCCACACAAAGAAAAACCCGCCGTAAATAAAGTATGCGTCAAGCACCGTCTATTTTGATAGTAATCGCGTGCAACTGATGTTCGGCAGTACATGTACTTGGCGTACAGTTTGGGACTGGACGGTGTCATGATCAGTTATATTACAAACAGTTAACAAGAAAAGAACTGAGTTAAGCGTTCTTGGTTTGGTTTTGTAGAAGAACTTTGAGAAGGAGAACTTGTGTTCGCAAGATGGATGCGGCAATTTGTCTGATGATTGCTGTAATTCTTACAGCAGGGGAAACTTGTAAGTTCACATTTTTGAAGGTTTGTAGTCAGTTCTATAGGTTTCGAACGATAGACGCTGCGGAAATATGCCAAATCGTTTAAAATTCACAGATATACGCACTGGACACCTTTCCCATTTTTCTTGACAACATCGTGTCAACTATTGCGTCTTGAATAATACTCGTCGTTACTTGCTGTTATCAAACCAACGTGTCTTTCTTTTGCGCCTTCGTGAAGTTTCCGCGTGTCGTAAATTCGTTTGAAATTCTTGTTCCCCTCTTCAAGCTGACGATTCGTTCGACTTCAACGAATACGAACGTTTATCAACAGGCAAGTATGCACGGGTTTTGCTTTTTGAAAATAAGTAATTAGTCAATAATAAATGTACCATTTGTTGTTATTCCAGTGAATGCAGACCAGTGTGTTTCCAACCCGTGCAGCAATGGCGGTACATGCTACAACGAATACGAGGGGTACGGCTGCCTGTGCCCGGCCGGTTACAGCGGGCCACGCTGTGAGCAAAGGCAGAACAGCGGAGGTCAGTGTGGTTTTTTTTTTCAAATTTGAATATCGTAATTTTGTTGTACGTTTAGCGCCTGATTCACCCTGCAAAAGGTCTATGGAATATTTTCTTGCACAGCAAGGGTCTATGATAAGCGAGCCGATTTGGCAATTAATTATGCAAAAAGCTGCGTCTTGACCTCGGGATTCTGAATTTTCAGCGGGCGCCTTCTATCTGTTCTTCGGTAACCCGTTGGTGTGTGACAAAACCTTTCATAAAAATCAGCCAATCCACAGCTTAGACCACATGTTGTGATTGAATCATTGAAATTTCGTCACAGTCTCTAAAGACCATGCTGTGGTGTATCCCACGTTTGTACCGTTGCTCTGCCTACGTAAATGTCTGATCCTCGAACTAACCCCCCCCCCTCCTCCACCTCTCCCCCACCCATCCCCAACCAACGCTTCGAAAACTTGAATAGTGCAAGTAATATGACAGCACGATGTTCTTATCCTTTTGAACAGGGAGGTTGGGTTTCTGCCCTGATATCACAAATGACAGGGTCGGGCTGTGCGTCGAGGATTGCACGGACGATTCGTCCTGCCCAGCCCCGCTGAAATGCTGTTCCAATGGATGCGGCCACGTCTGCACGGCTCCGGTCATAACAGGTGAGTTATATTCGCTCTTTAGTATGATCAGTATCGCCAATTAGGCCATTTAAGGTATAGAGAATCATTTGCATTAATCCCAAAAGAAACCCACCAAATCATTAAAGATCGGTACTGGTACTAGACACCCTGTGAAATTATTCCGTCTGGCTTGCTGTCATTTCAAATTTAGAAAAGTTTACGTTTTTGTTAAGATTTTCCCCCACCCTTTTTTACTTCCGGTGTTAAAGAAGTGCAGTTATATTAAAAATAGGGATTTCAATTTTAAAACTGTCATTTTTTTTTGGGGGGGGGGATATTTCGTTAAACCAAATTGTTAAATCAAAAACATTTTGGTAACAGCGTTAAATTGTGGTTGTTCAGTTTCATTCCAGTTTCAAATGACACGTTCTATTCTACAGGAATTTACAACTGGAATTCACTAACCAACCGATAGTACTTTGGAAAAGGGAATCCAAGAGCGGATCAAGAACACAATTTGTTGGGGGCCAACAACTATTGTTGTTCCCAAAAAAAATGTCCGAACAATTTACGGCGTGGGGTTCGGGGCCCGCTTAAGGGCCGGGAATTGTTTTGTTTTTGTTATTTCTGTTAGATTCTAGATTCTCTGTTGTGCGATCTGAGACAATGTTTATTTCTGACCACTTTAACCTCATTTTGTTGAACAAAGAATTAAGCCTTTTTTTTGCGACCTCAATTCAAAACAGCAATGATTCTTTATGGGGGGGGGCATGGCTCCTGTTCCCCGCCCCCTCCCTGGATCCGCCGTTGAGGGAGTCCAATTACAATTATACACACAGTCACTTTGCGTGAACACAAAGTGTTGTTAGCTTTTGTCATATTTCCTTTCAATGTTGTGTTTATTTATAGAGGACATGTGCGGCAATGGCGGCACGTGCGTATACAACACCACTTTTCTGACCACTTTAACCTCATTCTGTTGAGCAAAGAATTAAGTGGTGTACGCAGGGGCTGCCTTTTTGGCGACCTCACTTAAAAACCAAAATGATTCTTTGGGGAGGCGGGCACGGCCCCTGTTCCCTGCCCCTCACTGGATCCGCTGTTGAGGGAATCCAATTACAAAGTGTCATTAGCTTTTGTCATATTTCCTTTCAATTTTGTGTTTATTTGTAGAGGACATGAATTGGTGTATGTCCAACCCGTGCGGCAACGGCGGCACGTGCGTTTACAACAGGCATGGGTACGGGTGTCTGTGCGATGCTGGTCGATTCGTCGGCAGCCACTGTGAAGTACCTGTTCTCCAATCCCCATCACCATCGTCGTCATCGTCGTTTCCTTCATCCCTATCAACACCATCAACGCCATCGATATCACCATCACCACCAGCAACATCGTCGATATCACCACCATCTTCATCATTGTCTTCATCATCAACATTGCCAGGTTAGCGTCTCCTTTAAAATAGACCATGTGGTCTATGACGTGGCATATTTTGCATGCCATTTGGCCCACATTAAACAGTATGGGCCTATGTCAACACTAGTCTTTTAAACATCCATATTTCAAGAGATATACACGCAGTGCAGAAGAGAACCGTTTGCCTAACGTTGGCATCACGTGACCACAATATCCAATTTTGAAAACAAATTTCACCCAGTCTATTGACCTGAAGCATAATGACGTCATGCTTTATTTACACGTGCGCTGTCTTATGTGAGTTTGGCGGTTCTGTCCCAGCCTCACTCTCATAAGAAATCGCACATGTAAACAAAGGGTGATTACATCATTGTAAAAGTGATTCAGATCTATCTGGTACGACCACAGCCTCAAAACTCGCGCCGTGGATTAAAAGTCTGACACCGGCTTGCGCGCTTTTGACCAAAAAGTTGCACCCATACATTCCGTGGAGTGATAATTTCTTGAACAACGCAAATGTATTATATGAAATGTTCGCCTGCGTCGCAAGATGCACTTCTGCCTGCAGACATTTAATTCATCCTTAAGTCCATACGGCATTTGGATTGGTGCGACACTGGAAAGCCACTCTGAACGAAACGGGCGTCAACTGCGTTCTGAGAAACCCACTCATAAGATCATGCAAGATTGCAAAATTAGTGTTTTCAGTACGGTGAAGAATATAAAGTGTGTTCAAGTTCATTAAGATCGAGTAACTTTCAAGTCAGGCCCGGATTAAGTATTTCGTAGGCCCTAGGCATCAGTGTTCCGAAGAATGGAGAAGGAATCGGAAAGGAAGAGAGAATAAGAACAAAGTGGAGAATGTAAATAATAAACATCGCTGCTTAAAACTCCTCGAAGCTAAAATCCGGTTCTGAAACCCATGCCAAAAGATTGTACATTCTGTCATGTCGGCACAAGCTGCAGCGCGAAGTCGCTTCATATACGGGGGTTGACTGCTACAACTGTGCATATAAAAAAATATGAACATATAAATAATCCACTATAGGATTTAAAGACACCCCCCCCCCCCCCCCGCTGATGTCTGGGATCAGGGAACAGGCCTGAACAAGGTATGCGCAAAGGTACTGAGCATGTACATGCAGTTTTGCGACAATGAAATAAAAACATTAGGCCTATAGCTGGATTGAATTTTGTATTTTCGAACAATTTTAAAAATTAATTTCGAACGATTAAAATACAAGCTCTCAAAATAACAAATTAATCATTCTTGCAATTGTTCTCCAATAGAAAAGAAAGAAAATAAAACAAAAAGTTATGTGGCGATGGCCAAGTCTTCAGGAGTCGGACTTATGACCCTAACTCAATGAGCCCCTTACCGACTTCCATATAGAACTCTTCTGGGACTCGGTACCCGGCCCACCACACCTCCTTCCCTGTCCATCCATGTAACTCGAAAGTCAGGCACCATAAAGGGAGGAAACGAGGTGGCACCCTAAGCCTTGCTGCCGAGTCAGCAAAAGAACCCCGTACCTATACGCAGATGCCAACCTGGACTTCGCAGACAGTCCCAACTTGTGAGTCAGCTTACCGACCGACCGAGCTAACTGCTGTTGGTAAATGACCACGGGAAATTAATACTCTTCAATGACAGAACTGCGGTCAACGAAAACCAAAAAAATGACACCATGCGGGTTCGAACCCCTAACCATGGGTCCGCTGTCAGACAGCTTAACAACTATGCTGTTTCAGTAGGTGCTTTTCTCTTTGCATTTAAAAACATAATCCTTAATTCCGCTGTGGGAGACTTACTCTGTGTTTCATAGCTGCGCGAAAGATGCGTCAGCATCGTGCTATACACATGAATGCTGTTACGTAACTCTTTTCTACAATCATTCTTATGTACCGAGCAGTTGACTATTCAGAGTCACTACGAGTAATTAACCTCACCATGCTCTTCCTTATTCTGTCTCATCAATTATTGTTTCGCGTCGCGCGTCTTTCGGCCGACGCTGATATGTCGCTATCATTGAGATGATTTCTAGCAAGTTTCCTCCACCGAATTATATTTATATCAAACTACTGACCCATTTACAATATTTTTTACGAGGGAATTTTGTTTGTCTGATTCTAATTCAGCTCCCTTAGCTAGCTTGGGAAAATTCATATGTTCTTATACTTACGCCAAGTCTAGGGAATGATGCCATTATAATACAATGTAACAATAACGTCAGCCGATGGCATAATTAGAATCGTGACCACGCGAGTGCAATGACAGCTAGTGGCGTAAATCAAATTACGGTCGACAATACAAGGCCCATTTGAATGGGTGTCATTAAACAACTTTAGCTAAGTGGTTATAAATTCGGGTATAGCGTTCTGCCGCCTTACTACAAACACCATTTTGATACAAATGTAACCGGGGAGAGCTAAATAAATTGGTTTACTATGGTTCACTCTCCTACAACCGAGTGGTTCCACTACATTGGTATAGGTCCTAGCTCTCTGAGAGAGAAAACTTTTCTCTGCGCGTGTGTGTGTGTGTGTGGGTAGGCCTATGTGTTTTATGGCACAATATGTAATTAGTTAATCAATAAACGCTGTGGATACGATTTTTTATTTGTTTGTAGACATCACCATACTTATTACATATGGAACAGTCTGATATCGATTTCATATCATCAAAATAATGACAATAGTAAATTATGTCATAAATACAACAACAACAACAACAACAACAACAACAACAACGACAACAAAGGCATTTCGGTTTTGTGAATGAGACATGGTGTTGATCTATTTGGGAAACAAATAATCAATGTAATCATTTTTTTTTCAGGAGACGACAATCCTGGTAGCCCCGAGGACGTCGCTGGTAACCAACAGCTGCCGACGGCCATCATTATCGCTGCGGTTTGCAGTGTAATAATAATTGTAGCGATACTGGTGCTCACCGGGATTTTCTTGTACCGAAGAAGGTGAGTCGCCATGTCACGAATAGTTCTAGGGGAAAATGGAAGACAGGTTTCCCCCAACCTCGTTCCCATGATGTCGAGCAGTACGCTCCCACCACTACCTGCTCTCTCACACTGGTATTGGATCATTTGCATATCCATTTTTTGGGGGATACGTATGCAAATAAGGAATAGTCTGGTGCCTGCGTGTGCTTTACATCAGCGCTTGTTTTTGTTTATTGTGTCTGAGGTAAAAACAGAATCAATTCGTCGCGGCGTGAGTTACGAAAACACTTTTTGTTTTTCATAGTTCAAATGTTACAATTTTTTATCCAGCCAATATGCAGTATCACTTTTCATATTAATGTTTTCAGATTGGAGAGAAAATGATTATCTTTGAGAAGGAGGAAATTTTAGAAATTACACTGAACATGAAAGCACGTAATACACGTTGCAAATATAAATCCATTAGCTACTAATTGCGCTATCCAATCAGGATACAGGAAGCAAGTTCCCATCCCAGGACTTATACTGTTGGAAACAAGGTTGAAATAAAGTAAGCCCTGATACAAGGTTGAGGTTTCCCCTACACAATACCCTCCAAATTATCATCAGCATATTGAAATGTTCATGTGATTTTCAATCATCATAAGGACAAGCAGAAAAATAAAAACAAAACGCGACAGAGCGCCCAAAGGCTTCATCCTGCAGTTATCACAGTGACGTGTTGATTTGGTTCTTTGAAATATATGCATAACTATATAAACATTATAAGGGTGGTAAAGCGTCGTCAGGGTTTCTTTTTCACAGACAAAAATTACCACTGAACTATGAATCAAAACAGCCTCGCAATAACTCGCCTACGGAAATGAGTCGCCTGTGACAGAAAAAAAAACCCAATAACACCAAAACATCTGTTGATTTAATGTGTGTGTTAGTGTATTGGTACCAGATTATCTTCAACACTACAAATAAGAACAAAGAAGTACGTTTCCATTTGTGCTGATCGATGATACACCGAACGGTTATCGACTGATAGTCCGGTGATATTGAAAAGACAAGAAATCATTATGTTGTTATTTAATGTTCCCATCATTTGGTTTATTTATGACACAGAAATCAGACGACTGATTCGGACACCGTATCCGTGGACAGCGGGAAGCAGATCATAAAGAAGGGTCCGGAGACGGGTCAGGAGCCTTGCTACATGGAACATGGACATCAGATGGCCTGAAGATGGGAACCAGCCGATGTCCTCTACCCCACAGTCTTTGCAACAAAATTATTTAAGCCATACAGTTTGATTTCCGGGTGTGTTGTTCTAAAAAACTTAATAGAATAATAGACATGAATTATTCATGACTTTGCACTTGATGAATGCTTCAATAGCGCCCTCTCTAAAAACCAAAGGCAAAGGTGTTCGTCGCAATTCACTTGGCCCTAGCGGCGGTGGAACGGTTTCAAATGGGAAGGGGGGGGGTGCATTACCGAAAAGGGGTATTTTTTTATATATTTTTTTCACATCCGTTCTGAAATGTAAACACCCATAGCGCCCCCCCCCCCTCGGTTCTGCCGCCCCTGCTTGGCCCGAACTGTGTAAAGTCTGTTTAATTCGTCTCACGGCTTCGCTCAGTTTTGCAAATCAATTCTTCGTGCAGCTGAGCGGGGTGTTATCTTTTGTATAATGAAAAATAGAATTAGCTGTTGCAAACTGCTTACCAACCAAAAGGACCTATGGTATAAATGCAAAAAAATAGTTAGTGGCCTGACGTTTCGACCCTAGCAGAGTCTTTCTCGAAGGCTAAATGACAAGACTATAAACATAAACAGGTACATGTATACATTACTGATGTAACAAAAGCAGTCAAGTGGAAATAGATGATGCAGAGGAAAATACACAGAGAAAGCAGGCGGCTGAACAGAAAGGAGGGTAACAAAAGGGAGGGGGATTGGGGGAAGGGGATGGTTGACCACAAGAGGTGGGGAACACAAAGGACAAAGTCAATGATGGGGAGAGGGAGAGAAAGGTAGTTAATTGGTGAATGAGGCAGACTGGAGGAGGGGGGGGGGGCTTATCTGTGGTGAAAAGGAGAAGGCAAAGACAAAAAGTTATTAGTCATTTCCTTCTTGGATGTTCAGACCATGGGGTTGAATGGTCTGGAGACGTCTTATCCATAGTTTCTCTCTACTCAGACGAACAATCTCTCTGTGGTTTCCTAGTGCCTCAATGCCCTGTAAAATCATGTCAGAAATTGAGTGATTAGGAAGATTGAAATGATGTCCTACGGGTGTATCCAGCTTATGGGTGTTGACTGTGGATCTGTGGCCGTAGAAACGTCTCTTGAGTGTAGTTCTCGTTTCACCTATATATTGAACACCACAAACTTTGCAAGATATTAAATAGATTAGATTGTCTGAAAATGGGAACCAGCCCTATGTCCTATACCCCACAGTCTTTGCAACAGAATTATTTAAGCCATACAGTTTAATTATCGGGTGTATTGTTCTAAAAACCTTAATAGAATAATAAACATGCTTTTGTTACATCAGTAATGTATACATGTACCTGTTTATGTTTATAGTATAATGGTCAACAAACAAACCAAAAAAAACTTTTACTGATATGGTTTCAAACTAAATATAGAGGGGAACAGGTTTCCATGCTGCCTCAATACTACACTAACCTAAGTATAGCATATTGTATTTCGTAATACATATACATGTATGTTAAAATGAAAATGATGTATATCTATTAATATTTTATATACAGCCAGTGAAGTTTGTATTAAGAATATTGAAAAGATAGTATATCAATGATTGTTAAGGAAAGTTGAACTGCAATGGTTTTTCTGGCGTTTTATTATGAATACAGAGTCTGTGTCTTTTTAACTAAGCATGGTGGGCCATTCAATGATAATCAGTTTATTGTTGGGACAATATTAATTGTTCTAGTTCAGCTACCAAGATCAATTTGAAGTGTGACATGTTCTATTCTCGCTAGCACAACGGCTTGGCTGTAAATATTAAGCTTAATGCAGAACGGAAAAAAAGCTGTTGACTCACCTTTTTTTCTTCCAGGTACATGTACAGCAACGCATGTGCAGCAACGCATGTGTAGCTGCACATGTGTAGCTGCACATGTGTTGGTGCACATGCGTTGCAGCAACACATGTGCAGCAACACATGTGCAGCAATACATGTGCAGCAACAAATGTGCAGCAACACATGTGCAACAACACCTCTCAGGCGTGGTGAAATTTTGACAATTTGTGCTTGATATTAAAGTATTCAACAAAAATGCTCTGTTATTGATAGTGGATACAACTAGGTTAACCTTGTGTTTTTCTGAAATCAACGGGACCAAACTCAGAACTTGCTTTTAATACTTTAAGGGAGGTACCAGCCATATTGTATTTATGAAATGCATGGATTACAATTATCGCTTTTGCCACATTGGCTGCTTTGTATTAGAGACAAGCCATTGTAATTATTGATTGTAACTTTTGAGCAATTTAAATGTTTAGATGAATATCAGGTTTCTGTAGAACCAAAACAATTGCACATAAAAGACATGAAAGTTGCTCTCACTGGATTCCATTTAGATATGTAAACTCCCAAAGTGTACGGTGAATTAATTGAAGTCTAAATATTTAAAAACTATGAGGCATCCATGTTGATGCTTTGTCAGTGGTTGTGACCACTACTCCTATGGCGCGCCCTCCGTCTACTGAAAGAAAATTAAAGTAGACCGTTAGGCAACTTTGTCTCCGTGCGAGACACTATGTCGTTTAGCGCACCCTTTTTATGGCGAAATATTTTAGGTGCCAAAACAGTTTGGTTAAAATGCCCTCGTTAAATAGTGCAATAAACGAACTTCCAATTCAGTAAAACAGACATTTATTCATTTGCAAGGGGAATATGTTGCTCTTGTTCAACCTTGTTCCATGAACATTGACTTTCATTCGGATTGTATTTTTCACATTTAAAACGCTATATTATTTTGGTCCTATTATTGTAATTGTTCGACAGTTTCTCATGAATTGAAATCTGCCGATGTTACATATAATGACAAATTACAGGACGAAATTTCAATTGAATACATTTGGCGTTTCATGAGTTATTGCCCAAACAAGTGTGTCCTTTTTGTTCCGATTTATTTTTTCACACATGGCATAATTATGGTATCGTTCTTCTAGCAGAAAGTCTGTGGATTAGACGATCACGTGTGCATAATACACACCACAGCCGTCTGATAATATCCGTACATGTTATGTCATTTGCATTCATCCCTATGTAGCCCACCAATTTATTATCGGAAGCGCACTTCGATTAAAGAGTGTCCTGGTAATAACAGCCTGTAAAATTATTTCGTCTGGCATGCTGTCATTTAGAAATGCAATGTAGGTGATTTCTAGCGATCATTCTATCGACTGATTTTTGGGATGCAGAGTGCCGTTGACATAGCTGTTTTTACCTCTCTGCCGAGAGGCTCGAGGGGTAAAAAGGAAATTTATTCTAACTAATATAAGAGACTAAAAAAAACACTGTTTAGATATTTTGGTAAAAGACTGGCACATAGTTGTGTTAAAATGTAACCGTAAAAGGGCCGGGGGGCGGAATCCGCCCCCCCCCCCTCGACTTTTTCCGCGATAGCCTTTAAACATCTTTTTTTTCGCGACACGAGCTTTTATGACTTTTTAGCCTCGAGCCTTGCATATCTTTTGACACCAAAAACATGGCAATCGGACAAGGGGTTGTCGCGCAGCGAAATTTTTTCCGGCGCTACGCGCCGTGAAAACTGAATTTTCCAATATACGTCGTGTACACAAACCAGAATTTCCATTCATACATATGAATAATTAATTAGCCATAATTCCAAAACCCTTTGACCTTTGGTCATGACATTTTTTGGGTATGTTTATGAAGAGTTGCTCTATGCATGTACCAAGTTTCAATATCTTTTCTTCACTCGATAGCTGAGATCTTGGGGGGGGGCAAAATCCGCCCCCCACCGGCTGAGAGATGGTCAAAATAACCCGGCCCCTTTAGGGTTAAAAGAGGCAGGATTTTGGGTAACATGCAAATGTTGATTTTAGGCAATAAAACACAGCTTTTTGCTACAAAATTGCAAAATTCAACAAAATTTGTCAAAATATACTTAATTAATTGGCAAAATATACTTAAAATTGCAATTTATAAAAATTTTGCTTTTTTACCAATAAGTGCCTTTTTTCACCCCTTTTTATGTCAATTTTTTATTTGATGTATAACTGAGTGCATCTTGGTATTTTGTACCTGATCTGCTTCAAAGTGGTAGCTAACATGACCATTTATTATATAAAAAAAATATGACCCTCAGTATGACATTTTTACGGAATTGCCCTTTGAGAACTTACAATGTTAATTATCATTATTGTCCATGATTTGACTTGTAAACCATAACAAGCTGGAAAAAAATTGTGGATATGAAACAGATTTGCGAATTTTATGCGTTTTTAATTTTTACCTCCAATCGAATGACAAAGATCGACTTGGATGTTTTATAAAACAAGTAAAAAATGTTTTGCATTCATGCAATGGTGAGAATATTTTCATTTGTCGAAAGATGAAATGTTTTATTCAACTGGTTGACTTTGATGGAACATTCAATCTTTCAACTCATGAAAATATTTTCACCATTGCACTCTTAAACATTCATTATTTGTATAATAAACTACTAATGATCACGTACCTACTGTAATAAGGGGAGGCGTACTTTGTTTGGCTTCTGACGCACTGAGGACACTGTCGATATATAAAAAAACGTTTTGATGGCGCAACAAACATCGTCATTTCCCTCCTGGTTGACAAGTAAGTGCTTCTGGAGAACAAAAGTGGCGCCACAGGGTATCAAATCTCTCTGGACGTTATGCCAAATAAACCTCAGTAAGAGTTTGTCTTGTGGGAGAAGTTTCAACTGGTGAAACATAGTCTGGATGTCGCCTGAGATTGCTACATTAATGGGTGCTGGCGGAATCTGAGGAAGACTCCAAGCAGGGAGGCACCAAGTTTGGGCCCAGGCAAGAGGTGCTGGTTGAGGATCCTCCCATCATGTTCGGAGGAACAGTCAAACTGCCATTGTTCTCAACAACACGGTGTGGACAGTGTGGGCAGAACCATGACTCGTCTGTCCGGTTAGCTTCGTCCTCTTAACATAGCCCGCATCGACCAACTTCTGGATCTTCTAGTTCTGGATTTTGGCCAGGTTTGTCTGCTTTTGAAGTTTGTGCTCGATGTTTCTAATCTGAACATGGCTACTTCTGTGTCAGCATGAAACTAAACCCCGTCCTTAGCACGAAGAAGAGGAGTTGCAAAGCGCAGTGCATGGTCCTTCGTTATCGACTCGAATAGTCTGGTCTTCGAGTAGGTCGATCACTTGCTGGTCTTATTTAACACTCCATATCACCATGAACTTTTAACCTTAAGTTATTGTCATCATGGAGGGATAGGCCTATTCACCTGCACCCAATGCATGTACATCTGAAACGGCAGTGTCTACGCACATATACTTTTTGCTTATCCTATTTCGGAAATTTACCACGTGTTCAGTGATTAAGTGATTCTGGAAATTAAAGCTTTTCTTGTAAAGTGTTTGCTATTCTGCGTAAAGTCAGTGTTAGAGTCAGTGAAACATGATGATTGCAATGCGACATATTTTTTTCTGATATTTGTGTAAAGGATATGTGAACTGCAGTATCATCTGACATGTATCGCGAAATAGGAATCACATTCACTGCAGAGCTTGAGGCCAGCGGTAAACATACAGTGTACTAAACAAAGCCGTTGAAGAATGGCATTGTCAAACGGGACATCGAAGGACAAAAAGGAACTTTTTTTAAACTAAACAAATGCTCCCCAAAAAGAAGAGCATTACTCACCTAAGCCCGTTGTTTATTCTATTTGTTATTTTATTCATTGTTCTTTTTAAAGTAACACTACCGTTAACATTAAAATTGTCCATGGTGTTGCTGACAACTGAGGGTGAGTATAATGTCTTTCAATGGAATCCTTCTTCTTTTTCATTCATTCATTTTCATGATGACTTGATGAGTTGGGCCCAACTGTCCCTGTCGAGCATAGTGTTGGAAAGAGATGGACCACTCAGACCAGTTTATAGCTTGATGGATGTTTTCAGGGTCATGTTTGGACGACCTTTCCGTCGAGGGGCTTCAGGATTCCAGAGGAGAACTTGACTAGCTGGCTCATTATGTCGATAAACGTGACCGGCTAGCCGAAGGCGACGATGTCTGATGGTGGTGGAGATAGGGTGAATGGTTCCATACAGAACAGAGTTAGGGAGATGTTGTTGCCAAGAAACGTTCTGAACAGCCCGCAACATCCGTGTATAGGTACCATCAATTGATGCAGAGATCTTTTTTGGTCAGGGTCCAGGACTCGCAACCGTAGAGGAGGATGGATTCTACTGAGGTCTTGACGATCTTAAGTTTGGTGGACTTGGAGATCGAGGATCTCCATACTTTTGTCAGTGAGAACAGAGCAGCTTGAGCTTTTCTACACTCGATATTATGAGCTGTGCTGGTGATGGGTTGATGACCATGTACTTAGTCTTCTTTGCATTAAGAGAGAGACCAACGGACTTGCAGCAAGCTTCTACTTTGTGGAGGAGAGATTCGGCATCAAGGATGGTATCAGCAAGCAGACTAATGTCATCTGCATATTCTAGGTCGGATAGGTATTGGGCAGGGTGTCTACTACTCCTACGGCGTGAGAGAGTGAGACCATCGGTGACATTTAATGCTGTCCGCAGGGTATAATCCAGAATTATGACGAATAGGTAGGGGGCGAGAATATCACCCTGAAGAACTCCATTGTTGACGGAGAACGAACTAGATTCACCTTCAGGAGTGAGAGCAAAAGCACTTGTATCTTTATACATAATTTTCATAGCATGAATGGTCTCCGGGATACCGCAAGCATGCAGGATCTTAAACATTGTTGGTCTGTCAACAAGTCAAATGCTTTACGGAAAAAGATAAAAATGATGGCACCTTCCTTCTGGTGGTTACAAATTTCCTCAATAAGGCGCCTGAGGGCAAGGATTTGAGAAGAGGTTAGACGTAGAGGCCGAAAGCCACTTTGATTGGGACGGAGTATCTTCTCAACTTCCGGACGAACGCGATTCAGAAGTAGTCGATTGTATACCTTGGTAGCAGTTTGAGAGAGGCTGATTCCCTGGTAGTTGTCTGGGCAGCAGTTTGAGCGCGGCTGATTCCCTGGTAAATGTCTGGGATGGTGAGGTCCCCTTTCTTTGGAACTGGGACGATGCTGGACAGGCCCCATTCTAGAGGGCGGTTACCTTCAAGGGTTGCATTGCAGAACCGTGTGAGATATTTCTTAAGTTTAGGAAGCATCGAAACTTCAATAGGTATGTTGTCCACACCAGAAGCCTCGCCAAGCTTCACTTGTTTAATGGCTATGTTGACCTCTGTTTCGGAGAATTTGCCAGTTCGGATGTAAGGGTTCGGAACAAAGACGGGATCAATGGAGACTGGGTCATTGGAGGCATTACCAGAGCTGAGAAGGTTCTCAAAATGGGATTTCCAAGAGGCAAGTCGATCATTATCTTAAATGAAAACGGTGTTTGAACGTTTACCAGAGAGCTGTTTTACCAGTTCCAGGCATTTTGGATGGAATTGGTCGATTCCCGATCGTCAAAAGCACTGAGGATGTTGTTGACTCTGCAGTCTTCTTGCTCGGCATAGACACTGCTGAGGTTGGATTGAGCAGCAGGAAGATTGGTTTGTAAAGAGGTGAGTGCATTTGTTCGAGCTACATTGACTGGTGTAGATGATGCAATGGTATGTGGTCGTTTGGTTTGCGATGGAAGGAGAGACTTCCCAACACTCTCACACACTTTGACGAAAGAGCCATAAGATTGGTCGTCAGGGCACAATGAGGACCACTCATGGGTGATACGGTCCTCAAGAGAGGATGCAAGTTCTTTATCTGAATGCGTTGCAGACCAGTTCAGTCTAGGACGGGCAGTAGGTTTTGTGGAACGAAGACTGGGCCTTATCTTATCACATACTATACGATGGTCGGAGCCAATTGGATCAGATGTTGAAAAGCTTGATAATCTAGGATGCTGTTTTTCCAACGTTTACGGCACAGGATGAAATCAATCTGTGACAGGTACTTGTTAGGTTAACGGTGAGTCCAGAGCTTTTTGGAGGACTTCTTAAATAGTGTGATGGCAATCAAAAGGTTGTTACGATCGAAAACGTCACTGAGGAGCTGACCATTACGGTTGGTAGTAGAGTGGTAGGAGAACTGCCTTGCAACATGAGCGTTGAAGTCCCATCCGATGTCAAGAAGGGCATGTAAGGGGAATGGAGGCAATGGTGTCATTGAGACATTTTGTAGAACCCAGTAATAGACGCCTTATCACTGGTGTTAGTGGGAGAGTAAAAGGAGACAACGTATGTCTTAGGATTGTCTTTAAAGATGGCGAGCATAATTCTGTCGTTGATCTTAGAGATGGACGTCAGCAACGGAAGCAGTGATGTTTGAACAGTTATTGCTACACCACCAACGGCTGCACCTTGTCGATTCCGAGTTGCGGAAGAGGTGAAGATGGTTGATGATCCTAAACTAGAGATTCGGATATCAGGGTCTTCAGGTCGATTCACTTGACAGTGCTCTTGGATGCAGGTAACAGATAAATTGTAGTCACATAATGTTTATTAAGTTCCTCTCTTGATGACAGCGAAGAGAGACTGTGACAATTAAGCTGATCAAAAAAGGATAGTTTTTCTAGGTCAAGCAAGACCCTTCCGGAAACTATTTTTATCAGATGATGCCCTCCCAAGAGGGTTTCGGACGCCGTCGTAATAAGACAAAGTGTCAATAGTTCCGTGAGAGGGCAGATTTGAAGCAGGGGCTTTAACCCTGGTGCTGAAGGCTGAACTCATCATGTTTTTAAGAGGCTGAATACTCAGTGTGACGCCAGGGAAAATGACAATCTCCAAACCACTCTTAAGGAATACCACAGAAAGAAGTACTGCACGCCATCATAACCAGGTGAACAAGCCTATCAACCAAGCCTGCCTATTCCGCCGATACAGATTGTATGTACTAGACTGGAGAGGTCCCTCACCTACAGGAGTCCAACATACAGGTCTACTCATGTAGTTTAGCCGACCAGCCGAGGTCAGGATACCGGGGTGTGGCCACTGCCGTACACAAGTAGTTCAGTGGAGCCATACATGAGCTAGGGTGAACTGTTGGAACTAGTGGTTAGAGCCCCCATAAACATGGGCGGTTGCCCGTCGCCAAAGGTACTATCCATCCAGAACACCCCAACACCCCAATGGATTCCTACAAAACAGAAATCAATACGAACAAAAGGAATTCAATAGGGACAATAACCTTTTCACTACACAATATTCTGCACATAATGAGATATGAAACTGAGTTGATTACAATGAGGAACACAGTACATGCTCCATGCATCTTGCGTGAGATTTGGTCGCACTTAATTTTGGAGCATTTCAATGGCCTTGAAATTCAAAATCAAGGGTTACGTCCAACCATATTGTATTTGTTTTCTAATAAAAGATTGGTCTAACATGGATGACTACTATTACCAGAAAAAATACTCTAAATAAAATGTCTAGTGATTCAGTTAAAACTATAGTGGAATAATACTTTGTACACATTCATGTTCAAAAATTCGGTTCGCTAAGGGAGCGTCTCAAAAGTCGGAACGGGAACGTTCCGTTAGACCGTTCCAGCGGACCGTTCCATATACTACCTTAGACTGATGGGTCTCCTATACCCTAGGTCCTCCCTCTACTGACACTGCAACCCTACTGTTCCACTTCAGTGGGCACCAAGCTTGCTCTAGGATCCTGTCTACTTTGCATCCTCACAGGATGCAACTTCACACTCCATTGAATTCACCTTTTGCTACTTAAGTATTCATTTTCTTAGAGTTTAGGCACTCTCCTGAAGACGGTCAGAGCATACTGACCGGAACGTCGAGTTTATACCTCTGGTTCTTTTCAGAACCATTCTCTTAGTTGAGAAATTATTCGCACATGGTGTTTCCGCAAACCTTTCATTAGTATCTTCACCATGCAAAGCCATGGTCAACTCGAAACTGAAAGAGTGAACGCGAAACTCATCATGCAAGTCAGTTATATTTTTGAGGAAAAACGGGTATAAAGCCTATGGAGAAAGGATTGTGTACAAAGTCTATGGAGAAAAGTGATAACACCCAAAAAAGTGCCACCGCTCACACTGCAAAAGTATTACACATTTTCCAACTCTAGACGTACATACTTTGCCAAAAATCGCTATGAGCAATGCTCTTTTCGATCATATAAAACCGGTAGCGTAATTTTTGGACCGAAGCTAATAGCCCACCTCAAATTTGGAGCCGCAAAATTGTTCAATTTGTTATTTTGAGCTTAATTATATAACATACTGAATATAAACTAAAAATGTCAGATCTATACTCTCATCATTCCAAAGAGAGAACAAACACTCTTTTCCAGTGAAAATTCACTACAGGCCAGCGACACGAGGAATACAGTTGCAGAAAAACATGCTTTTGTCACGGGTATTCTCCCATGTCATGGTTCGATAACCACTGTCATGTAAACAACCGACGATTTCTATTGAACCCTTTCCATTCTGCTGGTTCATGGCGAATGGCCTCACAGGCATTACTAATCACGCATGAAGTCGGCGTTGAAAACTGCGGAATGCAAAATGGTGAAACTACTAGACGTTGACAGATCGCTATGAGTCAGAATTATAAAGAACCAGGCCTATTGCAGACACCAGTATACTCTAAAGTGCATGTCGCCTAGATTTTCGGTGGAAATTCGCTGGAAGAAAACGTGCTAAAAGTTAATGAAATGGGCATGGTAAAAGATGTCCTGTGAAATTATTTCGCCAGAAATTGTATCGTTCGAAAAACTAACGGTGAAGATGTTTCGTGAGATTTGGTGGCACTTAATTTTGGAACAATTTAATGACCTTGAAATTCAAAATCAAGGGTTACGTCCAACTATGTTGTATTTGTTATCCAATAAATGATTGGTCTAACATGGATTATTACTTTTACCAGAAAAAAAAAGAATACTCTAAAAAAACACATGTCTAGTGATTCAGTTAAAACTGTAGTGAAATAATACTTTGTAGACATTTGTGTTCAATAATTCGATTCGCTAAAGCAGCGAAATTCATGAACCTTCATTTGAAATGGATAAATACAAGTTGAGCCTCTCCAGTTAACACCCTCATACAACGATAGTGTCCGCCGAAACTCTAAAATGCCAATATAACGTGAACTGGTATGGATGACGAATGACGGCATCTCCCTTATTAAGGCATAGAGGATCACTTGCATTTATCCGAAAAGGAACCCTCGGAATTATTATGAAAACGTTGACATTGATTATATATAGTATTTGTACCAAACAACCAGTGAAATAACTCCATATGGCAACATCAAAATTAATTGACAGATTTGTGGAGATGAAGAGTGCTGGCATTCACTCATCTTTCTTGTGCATTTCACTGTTTTCACGAAAAGTGTAATTTCAATGTGCTGAAATTTTAACAGGTTAAGTTTAAAACATTCTGCTTGGACTTCATTTGAGTGATGTTATGATGGAGAACAAACGAATACATTATTTATTGTGTGTTCTCCTTAAGTAAAGAATAATAGCTTTGCATAGTGGATCGGCAATGGGGGTTTGTTTACAGTGTTGGAGGACTCAAGGCCGGCCTCGGCCTCGAGGCCGGCCAAGAGGCCGATTTTCATGGCCTCGGCCTCGGCCTCGGGCCTCGGTGAATCGGTCGAGGCCGGCTCGAGGCCGCCCATTTCGGTGTGTTTTCTATTCTAATTAATTTCAATTTTCTACCGTATCAAACCCTCGAGATTCTGCCGCAGTGGGTTCCGTGAAACGAACGCATATACAATCTACGCACGAATGAACTGGAAATGGTTGCGATTGAACGTACTCACGCACGTATAGCATCTTCGCCTAGCCTGCGCTTCAGCTTTCTACGTGCGTGCAAGCGTTATAACTGTTACCGCGTGCCAGACTACATAAGTCTGGCACCAATCCCATCTGCGTACAAGGGCGGATCCAGAACACAATTTTTTGGGGGGGCCAAAAAAAATTGGGTCCCCCAAAAAAGTGGGTCAAAAAAAATACGGCGTGGGGTTCGGGGCCCGCTTAAGGGCCCCGAAAAAAAATCGGATTCTAGATGCTCTGTGGTGCGATCTGAGGCAATTTCTGACCACTTTAACCAATGTTTTTTTGAGGAAAAGATGGTGGTGTACTCATTGCCTGCCTTTATTGCGATGTAACATAAAACAAACAAAATGGTTTCGTTTTTTGGGGGGCTGGCCCCCTTTGCCCCCCCCCCCGGATCCGCCCTTGTATGCGTACAATAACATGTGGTAGTAGACTAGTCTGGTTGCAGTGTTGTACATAATTTTCTCGTTTCGCCTCTGTACCCCGACCTTTAAAGCTATAGTCCATCATTTGTAATTAGTGCATTTTGTTCGTTTGAAGCAACAAAAGTGTTCAAAATCTAATGAAGGATACTGAGCAACTAACCTGATGAAGTTTCAGCTAAGCTTCAGCTGTACATTCCGAGAAAAGCAGCATTCTAAGATCTCAATTTCAAATCAAAAGTTACTGAATCATGTTTTGAATTGTTTTGAATTGCAGCTATACGCGGCGTCGCGCACTGATCATACGAATTATAACAACCGCGCGCGTGTGTGCGTCGTTCTAATACTTGTGCGCGCTGCGCTGAATAACTAAACGAACTACTAATTTAAATTTTCCTACGGTGCTTCTTAAGAATCACCGTTGGAAATGCCTTCTTTCGTTGATTACTTCAAAATGACAGCTTCCCAGAAAGAATAATTTCACAGGGAGTTTAGTTCCCTTACTATCTTTCAACCAAGTTTGTTTTTCAACAGTAATTACGCCAGTTACTTTTCGGATGGCTGCAAATGATGGACTATAGCTTTAAAAATGATTTGCGGCAAGGTGCGGCAAGCTTAATCATTTCTTTTTATGGGCCACTGTTTCAGTAAAAGTCTGAACTTTTTGGGTACAATCTAGGGTACTAGTCTGTACCATTTATTTTTCATAAAGATATGATAAAAACAGTTACGATTTATCAAGTAGATTTTTTTTTTACACAGTGATTTAAATGAAAGTTCCGGCTCACACGGTAATGTTTGGCGCAAATGGTCGATATGGAAAGCGCGATTTCAGAATTCGTTTTTCCATCCAAATGAATGCAAAGTTCTGAATAAATGTTTTAATAATAGGAGTCAGTATTCCTCGTGGTACAAGGATACTTTTTTTGTA